AGGGCCGACTGTGCAATGGGGCCGAGTAACGCACCTATCTGTGCTTCTTCGCACTGACAGGCCGGCAAGGGACCATGGTGAAACCAACACGGATGGCACGGCGTTGCTGGCTTAGGTCCAAGACAAGCACCAACGCTCTAGGGGGTAGACAGATACATAAGAGGTGACAAGGGGAAGAAAACTAGGCTAGTTAGAAGAACTCCGTTATGACCGCAAAACAACCGGCGACGGATAGACCACACCTAAGAACAGGAAGTAGTCAGCCAGGAAAAAGCTACACCGCACGGCCCGGGGGTTTCGCGGGTCTGTGAGGAGCGAACACTAGGAATGTGGAGTCACAAGGGGAGGCACACGCATTTACCTGATGCACGGACGCGAGTTTGTACATAGGGGAACCCGTTTGTCGGGTTGTACCGGGTGGCCGGGGAACCGCCGAAACTAACCAGGAACATCGCTTACCATCGTCTTTGGTTGCCACTTGGTCATAAGAGGTATTAAAGTCCTGAAGGTGGATAGACAACCAGACGAAAACCAGTCATGCTAAAAGGGGGGGACCGTGACGCCCGAATGTTATTGACAAGCTGGCAGATCTAGTGTCCAAGTTGGGCAATTGGGTGCCGGAGCCCACAGCTCCAGAACCATAACCGAGCCGAAGGGAGGGGGATGAAGAATCTCCATTAGGTATGGGTCATGGAGCGCACGTGAGATGCTGATCGGGTAGGCGCCAAGAGTTCATATTAGCTGTCCCATGTGAGAAGACGTGGGCACACCACATTGGGATCCCAGAGTGACCACCAGCTGAAGGCAGGCAGCAACAAGGAGGGGGGGTCAACAGAAAGGGCAGCGGACAGAGCAGCGTCTCGGCGAATCCGCAGTATGCAGGCACGCGGACAAGGACCAAACTGAAAACAAAGGGTGTGGAACGGGGCAAGGAGCAAGGGCTGGTCGGCATGAAGTGGTGGGCGGACGAGATTGGGGGACGGCGCGGGGCACAGGCCATGGGGGTGCACCGGGACAACCACGACCAATCAAAAAACATTCCATTGTATCCCATGGCAACCAGACGATGCGGAGCTGGGGTTACTAGGCAGGCTCCAACCTGGCATTTTTGAATGGTATGTAAAGCAAGTTTAAAACCACACACTAACCTGGTATTTGCTGTCCTTTGCCCTTGCATGTGACAAAAAGGCCATTGCCATGAAGAAATCCTTATAACAAGGTCCTATTAAACAAGTGTTAACAGTTTTATTCAATATATAGCAAAAAAATACTTTTTGGTCCCTGAAGTCTGGCCTGCTCAGGTTGCTGTTGTGTTCCCTCCAAAATCGACTTTTCATCAGGTGGTGTTAATTTTTTGGCTCTTACATCACAAGTACTCATATCAATCAGAAACTTCTTTTCAGTTTTAGCGATCCGGATGTAGCACTTGTATTGTCTATGAAACATTAAGTATACGTAGCACTAAACAAGTCTGGCACTAAGCAGAGACATTTCAAAAATGACATACTTGAAACAGGCTTTGGCTTTGTGTATTTCATCTTTAACTTCTTGCTCAAGACCTTCCCCATCCTCATGTTCAGGGCTACCTCTATATACCACAACTCTGATACCCGCCTGAATTAGAGCTTTGGTGCAATCAACACGGGGACGGCCTGTGGTGTAAAGGTGGCACTTAGTAAGATCAGCAGCATCAGTTCTTCTGGCATTTTGTAGGGCATGCAGCTCAGCATATTTTGTGTCTACGGTAGAAGTAAAACACCATGCTGTTAAGAATTATTATTGTCACATAACTCTCATACCTGTTTCATAACCAATGCTTAAAACACGAAGCGTTTCACTGGACACAATACACGCTCCAATTTGGTCCTGGACGAGTAGAGATAGCTAACAGCTAAAAACCATGATTTTAATGCAAAAAGTGGGGCTTGGGATAAGGGGCCTGGGGAATTCTTGTCCCCGGCCAAAACTCTCTGGCAAATAGGGTTAGGGCTAGGTGCTTTTATATTGACAATGCACCCTCCATATAAACCTGCTGGTGGCTAAGTCTTTGAGATAGGCTAAGTCTTTGAGATAGTAGTGCCACAGCCATGAAGTAGTCATCGACAGCCAGTGGAAAAATTTTCTGTTTTGATGAGAGGGATCCACTTTCCAGTTGAACATCTCCCTCAAAACGTTCACCATTATTAGAATCCCTTGTGTTACAGTTATGAAGATCCACAACAATGCTATTCCTGCAAGTATTATAGTACTTGCTTAGTCATTATTTTATGTCGTTACTTACTCATTTATGTATAATCTACAACTGCCTCCTTTGCAAAACGTCACATCATCTCCACTTGAAATGGTGGCATCTATAAAGTAATTATCATCCATGAATTCTCCGCGCATGTGTTGCGCATCATAAGTACTAGGAATGCGCACGCGCATATTTTTCCTCGCGCGCCGTAAAAACAGACCGTCGATGGAAGGGGGAAGGGATGGATGGCGGTGCATCCAGAGGCCCGCATTGCCTCGCCATAGGGCTATTGCTAGTGCGCGCGCTCTACTGAAGACTCGACTGCGCGCGAAGCATCTGCGCGTACGGCGGAAGCTAGACTTCCTACGAATGACGGAAGTTACACTTCCTTTTTGTGACTAATTGACATTCTTAAGCCTGACGACACGAATATATACAACCCGGAGTGTTGCCTCGCGCTAACGCGCTCGGCAATTATACCTCTCCACGTTTCGGGGTTTGTTTTGGTGTACTCTAGGCTGCAAACGTAGTCTAATATTCCTTGCTGTGCCTCAGTGCGACATATTCCATAACCATCCTGTGGATGTACAAGAGCAAAGTATAAACAACTCGGTCTTCGTTCGCCGACTGACCTCGCCCGTCCGGCTTGCTTTGATGTCTCGCAAGAATTAGCAGCGCATGAAGAGTCCGTTTGTGCTCAATACTTCGATTTTCCATTTTCTTATTCAGAGGGGGGTTGCACAATACTCGTCAGACAGCGGGTATTAATAAGTGCGTAGCTAAGCACTGGTACGGATATAAGCATGTGGGAGGAAATAATTGTAGATTCAACTGAACTGCAAACCCTCGGCGAACTGCGCATGCGCGGTATATTAGTAAACGTTTACTCGCGGTCTCCGGCTAGTATATAGCTCGCAGAGAGTCTGACACGGGCTAGCTACAGTAGTAGATTAGCATGCGAGAGTCGATACACGTCCTTCGTTGTGACTTCTTGTGCCTTCAAAAATACACAGACCCCGGTCATTCGCATTTTCCGCAGCGATAAAAATGGCCGACTACGCATTAGCCGTACAATGGTGGAAGCGCTCTAGCTTTGCAACGGAGCGTTTTCAGAGAAAACCGTTCGAAATTTCTGACCTTCATTGCCCGTTCGGTAGGTGGTATCCTTTTCAAATTTTTTGCACACCTGCCACTATATACTATACTGAATTCGAACATAATAGCTCTGGGATTGAGGGATAAAATTTGGTGGCGAGCCTTGCTCAACTACATGCTTAACGTAACAAGTCCAGTATTAGCAGGCCCATATTATACGCTTATGTCTATGATACACCTTGCCCTTCTGTTTCCACCACATTAGCAAACTCTTTTTGCCCGTGGGTCATGGAGCCAGCATGTCGTGTATAATAAAAGCAATGTATAGGAGAGTTAAATACAAACAACACATACGTGTACAAAATATAGGGTGCTATTTGAGTTCTCTGCTGGCAATGAGCTGGTGTCAGAGCTGGCCTGAGATCTTCTCTTCATTCTCTCAGGATCCACCTGAACTGCCACCTCGAAATCCTTGTACACCTCTGCCACCTGCTCCTCCACTGGTTGAGAGAGAGAGAGAATCACGGATCATGAATCTTGTAAGAATTAGTCGAAACGTTGGTGCTATTCGAATGGTGCACTGTGTGTTGGTAACTTGCCATTTCTTGCTTCAGTCGAGTCATCCTCAGTCTACAAAGTTAGGAAGGATGATCAATACATGTGAACACGTAACACCTTGGACACATTGAAAGTGATTCACAGGAACTCCATATTCAGTGGAATAATGCACTAATGTAGTACTATGAGGCAAACAAATTTGTCCTTTTGCAGAGGTGTCCTTGGTTCAGATTGTCCTTTTTCAGAGGTTCCACTGTAGTACGTGGCATGCATATTATGCAGGAGCCTTGTCTAACTGCGTTAAAACTCATTTCATTATTATGCAGGAGTATAGTGCATATTATGCAGGAGTATAGTGTATATTATGCAGGAGTATAGTGCATATTATGCAGGAGTATAGTGCATATTATACAGCGGTATAAAAATCCTAGGCCACTCCGAAGTTGTTTATGTGCAGTTGTAGTTTCTTGAATAATGTGATGGTTCCCAAGAAGAGATGATTGAAATCTTGGAGGGACCCAATCACTCACAGTGTGACAATGTCTCCATAATATTCATACCTGTTTTATATCCTATGCTTATAATATGAAGTGATTCATTTGACACAATGCAAGCTCCAACCTAGAGAGGAAAGGTAGGAATATAATTCTCTGCTAAGATCCTCTGAATATAAGTAGCAAGCCTGTGATCAATACTGCATGTCACAGGCATGCAAGCAGTTTCAATGTTGAACAAGATAATCAAGGCGCAATACGATTAATAACAAGGCACCATTTTTATGAAGTTTTGCACCGTACAAAAATTTCCTGTTATATGTAGGGGTGTACCTTCAAGTTGTTACATTATGACTAAGCTCTTGAGACAATATTGCTATAGTCATAAAGTAGTCGTCCACAGGCAGTGGTTCAGTTCTGCCTTCGGGTCTACTCCATCATCCATTTTTTTGTGGCTACAAGGATTGTAAGTTCACAATTTGCTACACTACACCTTGCTATACATTATAACTTACCTATTTTCAGATTCATCGTCCTCAGGCGGTGGTTGTTGATCTGTTGTAGTATTAGTTGCTTCACTTGCATTCAGGTCTTCTAGATCAACCATTATTTCCCCTTCAGGTAATTTTTGGCTACAAGGATTGTAAGTTCACAATTTGCTACACTATACACCTTGCTATACATTATAACTTACCCATTTTTCAGATACATCTCCATTTTTGAAGGTGAATATTTTAGCTTCAGCTCTTTAATTTCAGCTTCAATTCCAGCTTCATTTTTTTTAGCATAGGTACAGTAAATATCACCATCACCTAGACTTGCACTGCTTGCAATTGCGTGTCGGGTCAAATCATCTGGAGAGACGAGGTGTATATTAAAAAAATGGCTAGTGATATGTTTTGCAAAACAATCTCTCTTCACAAAAGATGGAAGAAATAATACCTAAGTCAACATTGATCCCGTCGTCGTATTCCAAACTAAGCACTTCAACTCTGTCCGGCGATTTTGACTCAACGCACAGTCCGCACACAGACTGTAACGGGGATGCTGTATGCTTAGCTGTTAGCCATAGACAAGACACTTACCACCCCTTTTGTTGATGCTTTGCTCTGAATTCTCGCAAGAATGCTCAATGAGAGCAGAATTTTCGACTTTTCGACACTCATTATCAAAGGCAGCGAACGCAACGGAGCGGGGATGGTTCAACCCACCGTCTATTATACAGCCATAATGTTCATTGCGCATGCGCATGCGGAAACAGAAACTACGCCACAAGACACCAACCTTTGTGATCGACTACGGACAACCTCTCAGCTTGGTAGCGCATGCGTAACCTCGCAAAGAATGAATCATAGCATCAAAACTAACTCAAGAATGTTAGTGGCGAAAAATACAAACACCGATTATGACGATCTAGAAGCTCAAATACGACACGAGTTATCTAGGCCACCCTATTTTCGCTACATATCACAACACAGTCATAAATATACTCAACTTAAGTATTTTCAGAGGGTTTTTGTTGGCTTTTATTTACTGTCCCCCCGTCATGCATAAAATGGCGAGAGGACCCAGTGTGGGGTATTAAATTTATCTGGCCAACGTAATTAAGTATGTGTGCTGTTGTATGGGAAGGAACATTAAGTATAAGATTATTGCAGGTTATCTATGACGTTACTGCCTAGTATTATACCATCTATACATTCTTATGGTCGAATGGATGCTGTGGGCATATATATATATATCTAGTAATATATAATAATAAAGGGAAGAAGAGAAAAAATATACCCGTAGGCTGTCTACAGTGTTAATACCCCTAAACCTGCCCCATTTACCTGTGCATAAGTTTCGACTGCATGTAGCTAGTTAATGGGGCCATTAATTATCTATTCGCACATACCAAACACCCACATCTTGTTGTTTCACATACCATGCTCGCACCGCAACAAAAAAATCCATGATTGGACTCATAGGTCATGAGGATCATCAAATTGTCAGCTGCCTGCAATTGACTGAGTTTCTAGTGGGATGCCTTTTCATTAAAAAAACTCAGTCACTACCACTTGTATTTCAATCGTACTGGGAGATGGCCATTAAGTGTTGCCCTTGAATTGTTTCTATAGGAAACTCTTTTCCTCACGAAGGCAGCACATCATCCACTTGCGTCATAGATTCCGCAGGTAGTTTATTAAAACGTGAAATCAACCACAATAACCATAAAGGATAGGAAGAGAGGTACATTGGCACTCTTTGAGCTCGGGGATGATACGAAACTGTACTGCATCGCTGCATGAATCGCCAAAACCACTAACCTTATGTATGAACTATCCAGGGTAATTTACAAGAACCAGGTGTGTTCATACGTTGAGGCAATGTCTACATTTTCAATATGCCAAAGGGTAGAACATACCGTGTGAAATTTGCAAATGGTGGTTTAGCAGGTACGTGAATATACCATACAATCCTGCTAGCGATGTTTAAAATATGCCTTCAAACACTTCTCCCCTGTAGACCCAAATGAGACTATTTCATTAGCCATTTTCCTCTTTAACACATTATGCATGGAATTACACATGTAGGTCTCTATGTCCGAGCTTATCACGAAGGAAGGGGAAAGAAGAAGGTGCCTTTCCAACTAGACAATCTTGTCTCTCCGGCTACTTTTACAACGGCTCGTCGGCGAGACCAGCATGGGATTCTAGACAACCCATTGGCTGTCCGGATACACGTGGAGATGACCCCATCAACTGCAATGTGGTCAGGTGCAGCAGAAACTATGGCTGGAGCTGGGAACTGTGCTACGTCTTCACATGGCCTCCATCAACGGAGAGGTAATATAGAGCTGGGTAATATTATTTGGCAATCTATGGTGCCGAAGCGTGACTAGAGCAAATATTTGATTGCCAGGACTCGTAAATTGGCCGTCATGCCATACGTATAAAGAACATGTTCCGCCCATTTGTAAAGAACATAATCGTTCAAGATGCTGTGAGGAAGGCTTGTTTTTGATATGGCTTTAAATGGGAACTTACCTCTTCAAGAAGTTCATATGAGTCACTACTGTATTGTACACACTTTTGTCTTGTGTCTTGTGGGGAAGTGGCGGAGTTATTGGATAACCACTAACTGTTTGTGCTATGGACTGGGAGGCCGGAAGCCGACTACTAACCGCCATTTGCGCCGTAGCTTAAATATGTGCATCATGCTTTGACTATAGGGACTGCTATCGAGAACCTGGCCTACAGCTTGATTACCTCATTAGACTTGAGCCTTACTAGTTGATCATTCACACTTGACCGAGGTGCTGCATTATATTTAGTCGACCATGGTGCTGACAGCCACTTAGCTGCTTTAGCACGATGGTGCTTGTCATAGAACTCGGGAGAACATCTCTCTTCACAAAAGAATGGAAGAATAATACCTAAGTCAACATTGATCCCCCGCCGTCGTATTCCAAACTAAGCACTTACTCGTCCGGCGATTTGACATCAACGCACAGTCCGCACACAGACGTAACGGGGATGCTGTATGCTTAGCTGTTAGCCATAGACAGACACTTACCACCCTTTTGTTGATGCTTTGCCCTCGAATTCTCGCAAGAATGCTCAATGAGAGCAGACTTCGGCTTTTGACACACTTATCAAAGGCAGCGAACACCAACGGAACGGAGGGATGGTTAATCCATCATCTTTATAACAGCCATAATGTTCATGGCATGCGCATGCGCATAGCGAGACAGTACTCACTAGGACGCACAACAGCCAACCTTTGTCCCTACACACCTCTCAGCCTCACTTGTACGCATGCGTACCTCGCAAGAATGGATGCTGATCATCACCCGAACTCAAGAATGTGGAGAAGAGTACAAACAACACCATTTGACGAGCTAAGTAAGCTACAAGACGAACAGTTTAGGCCACCCTTATTTCAGCTACATATCACACCAGCATATATACTCAAGCTTAAGTATTCCAGGAGGGTGTTATGTTGCTCTTTATTTACTTCCCCTCTGCATAAGTATCAGACCAGTGGTAGTGTATTAATTATCTCTGCCTATTAGTGTGTTGCTGTTGTATGAAGGCATAAGTATATAATATTATTGCAGGGTTAGTCTATGCATTACTGCCTAGTATTATAGCCGATATATCTATCTTATGGTCTAATGGATGCTGTGGCCTAGTCTATTATATATATATATATATAGTATATATGCACTACCAACGTGGCCTTGCTAGAAAGGATGGTTAATAACCCACCCATGCCGGGAAGCAATCAAACAAACGGAAAAATTTTTGTAATATTTACCATGTGCTAGTCTATGCATTAGCTCATTAATGTGCCAGTAGTAGTCTATTCGACACATACCGAACCCAAATCTTGTTGTTTCCCAGACTCAGATGATCACCCACATCCATGAGATGGAGCTCATAAGGTCATGATAATGGTGTCTCATTTAGCTGCCTGCATTGAGTGAGTTTCGAGTTGATGTCCGTTTCATTAATAACTCAGGTCACTACCATTGTGTCATCGTCTTGGAAGGGCCATTAGTGTTTTCTGAAGTGTATTGCTATAGGGAAAACTCAGATATTTTCACTCACGAGTCACTAGTGCTCTCCACTTGCTTTATAGTATCCTCATGTAGTGTGACACGTGAATCACTCAAAACACAGCCATCACCATACTTGTGCACTCTTCCTTGAGCTCGGGGATGATACCTGTAGCATCGAGGAAAATTCCAAACCCACTAACCTATGTATGAACTTATCCCAGGTATTACAGAACCAGGTTTCATACATGTGATAAGCAATGTCTACATTTCAAGAGGCCGAGGTAATTGCCGTGAAATTGTCAAAATTGTTTTACTGTACAAAGAAATATGCACCATACAATCCTGCTAGCAATGTTTAAAATATGCTTCAAACACAGCTCTTCTGTAGACCCAATGAGATTAATTTCCATTACCAATTCCTCTTTAACCAATGCATTAGGATTACACCTGTATGCTCTATTCGAGCTATCACATGCCTTTCCTATGACAATCTTTCCTCTCCGTCTACTTTTACAACTGCTCGTCTGCTAGACTCCAGCTGGGATCTAGACAACCCAGTGGCTTCCGTCACGATGGAGATGACCCCATCAACTGCATGTGTCAGGTGCAGCTAGAACTATGGCTGGGAGCTGGGAAACACCGTGATGCTACTTGGGTCTTCACAACATGCCTCCGTCAAGACGAGAGGTTAGATATAGCTGGTAATGTTATGCAATCTGATGGTCGCAGCGTGGACTCAGAGCAAATTTTCCGGACTCTAACTTGCCGCATGCTAAACGGAGTACACATGTGTCCAGTCCGTATGTGTCACGAATACTCGTTTCAATATGCTGTGAAGTGAAGGGTGTGTTTTGAGTGCTTTAATTGGAACTTACCTCTCTTCACGAAGTTTCAGTATGAGTCACTTGTATTGTACACACTTTGTATTGTGTCTTTGTCGTGGAGTGCGGAGTTGGAATACCACTAAGCTGTGTGTGCTTTATGGTTGACTGGGCCGGAACCCTATAAACCCCCAGTTGCTCATGCTTTGATCATGCTTTGAGGCTACTAGGGCTGACTATACGAACCTGCCTACAATTGACATTACCTCATTAGGGGAAAGAGACTTGAGCTTACTAGTTGATCAGGTCATCACTTGACCTGAGTGTGGCTGCATTATATTTAGGTCGACGTGATGGTGCTGAAGCCATTAGCTGCTTAGCACCAGATGGCTGCTTTTCAGAGACACACTGTAAATGTCATCTCCTCCCCTCTCCGCTCTCTCTCACACACTCACTCACACACACTCCTCAGGTAGTTCCAGCTGAGTCGATAGATTGTGCAGGTGTACGAACAACAGGCGTCGTCTGCTCAGGAGTGTGGATCAGCCTACGTAGGTGGTTCCACTGTTCAGCTCTTCCACACGCTGTCACAAGACTCTCCTCCAGAGAGATTGACATAGGAACGCCTCAGGAACATTGCTGCCAGTAAGTTATCCGAAGAACCCTACTTGTAAGCCAAAGCACCCTGTAATTCCTTGGCATAAATTATCATAAAAGAATGTACATTGCTGGAGTCCACAGCAATGTGAAGTACAATTCATCACAGCCTAAATTTGTATTAGGTATCCCTTGCAAAGTGTTATGTCTCATGTGACTTTGCAAGTGACATGTG